CGTGAAAGAGCGCTACATCACTTCCACTACACCACCTATGGCTGAAAACAGGCGTTGCGGTTATGGTTCGCCTCCATATGTAGGAGTGCACAGTCTAACGTGCTTTCCTAATCTCTCCCTGTCCTATGCGGGAGATGCTTACGCTTTCCCGTCTTCGTACATCTGCCTGAACAGAGTGGGGTGCTCTCACGACCTTCTTGGATTCCAGGCAACGAATCGTAAAATTTAGCTAAATAATAGTTGTAACAGCTAGTTCGAGGCTCCCCTAGGACACCTCGAACATAGTGGAACATTTTTTCTTCACACCCAATCTAGGCTTGAGCTGCTGTTTAGGGAGATCGTTTCTAACTCACAAATTTCCATGACAGGCACAGCACAAAAGCATTGTTAATATTGTTATTGGGAAAATTGATCAGGTTTGAGCTCGCGATCGCGTGATTCGAGGGACAGAAGCAGGTTTAGGACTCATTAAGATACTTTGATGCGTGGATCCAAAAAGCACTTTTTCTAGAAATCTAATAAGAAATCTAATAAGAAAAGCGACTTGTTTACCTCCATTGGGAATCTCCTTCCATCGATTGTGTGCTCGCTGCCGTTCAACTCTTCCCTTCCGATATGAATGTCTATGCGCTGTATTCTACAACAATAACAGCATTCTATGAACTTTTGTTGTTGCCAGATATGTGGTTCAATTAAGGTTCATATAGTCTTTATGAGTTCGATTTATTACTTTTCTTCTAATAACAAAACTGAAAAAGTGCATCAGAAGACACCCGACCTCCGGGAAATATAAAACGAACCTGTACTTATAGCCATGGAGTGGACCGCCAGTCAGGTTGGCGCTGGGCCGTCGAGCTGAGTTGCCGATACGAATTCGAGGCATTTGGCCGGTGTTTAACATCTCAGACATTACCTGAAAGCCAAAAAGGGACTTAGCACTACTGTATTCCTAGGGCTGCGTTGCCTCTTGACTCACACTGATTCTATCGATATGTATAGGCTTCAAGTTTGGATCGAACAGCAATCGACCTGGAGGGATATCGATTGGGGACTGCATTTTCCCATTATGACACATCATCCATGGCTTGAATAGCAGACCCCAGTTTTGCGGTCCTTAAACATACGATTGTAGCTCTGATACGATCACTTTCAGAAAAAGATAGAAATTTGTGGTTTGGCGATAAAAACGTCTCTTTTCTGCCTGACTATGAGCAAATTGACACCTTCAAATACGATACGCTCGAGGAGGTGCAAACCAAAGCAACTTTCTTGTCGCATAGATGATACCTAGTTCAAAATCGTGATTCCCACAAGTTCTTTCCACCACAATGTAAAAAAAAGAAAGGGCTACATTCTAAAGTTAAGTTAGGATCATGTAGGAATGCCGATTCAAATTTAGCACGAACCCTCAAGACAGAAAACACCCACACAGTTACACACACTCAGTTGTTCATACGGACATCTGACCGTTTCAGGCATTACATCTTTTTATGTCCTAAAAGAGGGGGGTTCTAGTATAGGTTCTGCGTGGACTCTGTCTCAACACGATGTGGAAGATGAAGCGCACCACCTCCTGCTTGACTGAGGTCTTTTGATTGCATTCTCATTCTGTTCCAAGACGTGCAGAGTTAAATAACGTTCGATATCCCAATAAAATAAGGTATAATCGTTTGATCCACCGTTTAGTTTGAGAAGGGGAAAAAGGGTGAAAAAGTGCTTTCCATACTCCATATCTCTTGTTTTTAGCGAAGTTATAAAGTCCAGCATGATGACCGCATGAATATGGTCGATCATTACGAAGCCTCTGTAAAATCAAGCAAGGTTTTAGAAAAAAGAGACCATTTCCATAGGTTTCTCGAGCTTACTGAAGTATCGTGAGCGTAAAAGGTAGTACTGCTCCGTTGAATCGACACTCCCGAAGGTTTCCATTTCGCACCGCTAATCTCACAAACCGCTACTATTGCCACCTCAAAGAACAATAAGCTCCGTTTCAAAAGGTTACCACAATTTCCTTCAGCTGAGTACCCAAGACTTGTGGTTAGCTCAAAAATGTGATGAAGTGTGAGTGCCTTTTGCATAGCTATCAATTGCATCAGCTGCACGGATAAGAAGCAATACAAATTTCACTCGGAATGAGACGTTCTATAAGTTAGGTATTTCCGAGATGTAGAAAGCTTATAAAATAGCATGCGTCAGGTCATGTTGGTTACCTTGATAGGTGTCATAATCGTAGCTCCACGGGTAATCGTTGGAGGATGCAGCAACCGTTGAGAGACTTTTAAGGACGAAAAGGAGCACTGCTGCCATTCGATGCAATTCTCCCAGCGATCCTGTCACGACGTCACGAATACTCCTGAATCATAAAATGCTAAGGTTAACGCGATGTTTTATAGTCAAGGTGATCACGTTGGTGCAGCCAGAGCAAAAGAAGGCATATAAAATAAGTACGTGTGGAACTGTTGCGAAAAGAATTTGCCCCCTTCGGTCTGGTACGGTTTACCCTCTCCAGTCCATCTCGTCAAGTGAAGAAATCAAAAAATATTCATGTCTTCCTAGAAAAACAGGGATTCAAAAAAATCACAATTTTAGGAGTTAAGTTCCTGTAATGAGTGTAGTCGTCAAGTTTAGTGGCCCACATTGCATTTCTATTTTTCGAAAGCGCTACTAACATTTGGGAAAGGATAAGCTCCGGCGGCGATCATGAAAGAAAGGTTCGGGATTTTGGCTCCTTGTAAATTTGATCTGGAGCGAACATATTTTCACTTCGGCTGGGTGCATGACCGGCCGACGGTGTTGATGACCACGTGTTGACAACGCTGGACACCAATTGATCACGCCCCTCACGACTCATGCGGCCCTGAAGCTATTTGTCAGCCCTGATCGCTACCCTGTCCTGCGTTGTCAACTCATGGCCAGAATCGCCGGCGATCGGTCGGTCGGTAGAGTCTGAATGCACCCACTGACCAATTATTTATTCGTTCCGTATTTTGTATCAGCTGTAAATGTAAAAATCTCCCTCATTTACAAACCTTACATAGCAAAGCTTAGACACTTTTCAATACAAACATGGCACTGAAAAAACAGCGTCTAACAAAGACAAATCGCGATGAGTTAAAATTTTTCTAAGAATAAGAGGAAGAANTGGACACCAATTGATCACGCCCCTCACGACTCATGCGGCCCTGAAGCTATTTGTCAGCCCTGATCGCTACCTGTCCTGCGTTGTCAACTCATGGCCAGAATCGCCAGCGATCGGTCGGTCGGTAGAGTCTGAATGCACCCACTGACCAATTATTTATTCGTTCCGTATCTTGTATCAGCTGAAAATGTAAAAATCTCCCTCATTTACAAACCTTACATAGCAAAGCTCAGACACTTTTCAATACAAACATGGTACTGAAAAAACAGCGTCTAACAAAGACAAATCGCGATGAGTTAAAATTTTTCTAAGAATAAGAGGAAGAATCGCGGCAACAATCTCACATTAGCCTTAGCTAAACGGGATCCTCAGCATACAGGGAAGCATCAATGCTAGCCATGGCGACAGCTAATTGCAGGTATTCGTGTGAGCTGAATCGGACATATAATTTCTCGTAGACGACAGCCGGCAGGAAGGCCTCTGGCATTTATTTATTCCGTTTTAGGATGTGCCACGCATTCGAACTTGCATACAGAATCGCAATGCCGATTAAATGCCTACGCAGTGACTTGTGAGTTTGGCAGATCTGAAAACCATTGTTTCATTTTCCAAAGATAAATCAGACATAAATACCTAGGCTGAAAGATTTTAGCTGTTTTTCTGCGCAAAGTCTAGGATCGTGTGGGCTGTCGCAGCTCATCCGCCCTATCCTGCGTCCACTCAGGACGAAAAATTGTTAGGAACTAGCACATCGGTGTTGATCGACCCGTTTGAAGTGCACTAATCACCTCAGATGACGCATCCGCCTTATTGGGGTGTTTCGTACTCGAAGCAGTTACATCATTCGGGTTCGTTCGAAGCGATGAAATGCTCATGAGAGAGCAGCCGTCATAGGGTTACCACTGGCATACATTGTTGCCATTTTGAGCAATGTTAGATGGGAAGAGCGGCTTACCGGAATTCTACGCTAACACTCAGTAATCTTCACTGTACACCTGCTAAGGAGAACGTCGGGATATCGCAAGGCCTCGGACAGCGTTATCGTTGAGCGACATTAACACGTTGGCGACCATGCGTCCCCATGCCAGGAACACGTTTTTGGCTCTCTGGGGTATTTATATTATTTATCAGGTTTTTCTATAATTTTTTCATGTTTTCATGTATCAGCTGAGCTCGCAGCCTTCTAGAGAATCTTGAAGCATTGTGGTCCAGGAATCATTCATTTCTAACTACAGATATANGTTGAACGACAATCTACATGGAGGGCCAACTAATACATGGAGAGCGGAGGGGCAACTGGCTAGGAGCTGCTGCATACTATGTAGGGTAAATCAGGGATAACGTTAGACATTTGGGAATACAGTGGATGCCATACAGCAGAGGATCCATGTGAAAAAATCAAAGAAGGAAGAAATCGATTGTTGAGTTCAGAGATGCGAAGGTTGACCGGTAACCAATATCTTGCAGTTTTACTAATTTTTTATTTTGAACGATCCCTTTTCTCTAAGCCTTTCTCTCCGGATGTTATCCATTAAAACAAGCCCCTTCTCAATTGTTTTCCCGACAGCAGCTCCCCCGCATCCTCAAGACTATTCCCGTATTTTCATCCATTTTCGGGCTGAGCAATTTGGGTTGGTGCAATGAAATTGAAAGAGAGGCACTGATCCGATTATGATACGGCTGGTGAGTTTTCTGCGATTTCAATTCCCCCTCATCAATTCTATTCCGTGGCTTATTGCGAACGGGCCCAGCTAAGCGCTTCCACGGCTTCTAGGTGAAGATTATTCTAAGAAGAGTTGGAACCTTCTTGGCTGTTACAGAAGAGATATACTTTGAAAAATGGTTAGCGAGAAACCAGATAGTCAATTATGTCAATCATGAAAACTCGTCCTTTACCTCGAATCTTTGGTGATAACCGATTATTAGCAATATAATTGGTACTTTAAATTCCCACAGAACCTAGAAATTCAAAAATGGCGAGTTATTCACTTCACATCATAATTCTCATGAGGCATTTCGAAAGAGGAAAAGGTTATGGGAAAGCTAAATGGCTCTCAAGCCCTATTGTCCTCTGAATTCCCCTGAAGCTCGAGTTCTATTCAGATATCATTTAGAAAATGTCGACTATTTTCATTACCTTTGCGCTTTTGAGAGGAATACAGATTCTAAGGTCTAAATAGTTTGGTGAGCAACATCTCAGTCTGGGAAGGAGACCGATATTGAATAGGGTGTCGCTGCATGACTGCGAATGGGCACATACATATGTATGTATGCTTGGATGGTTCGAAGAGATGGAAAATATCCTCTAATCCACTGAGGAATCGAACCAGATATTGTTAGTAGCAAGTTCCTTCTGACAAGTGCATCTCCTCTGAGCTGTAAAATGAAATCGTAGTAGGAAGCCATGCATCAAGGGTCCATGGCAAGCTCAGAAGTGTATGCATGCAGCATACAACCTAGTGGTGGACCTTTGGGCGAGCCCCTAACCTACAAAATAGCATTTTCTGGTGGTTTATGTACCTAAGCCACTTGAGAGAAAGCCATAAACCGGAATGGAAGCGATGATACAGCTCGTAAGAGCCCGATCCTGCAAACCAACAAGGCAGCATGTCGCATTTTGCCGCTGCGCTATCTCTACCTGGCCCAGCAACCAGAGCCAGAAGAGTTTGATTAATAGGCTGCTACGGAGGAAAAAAATTGTGGCAAGTTTTTCTGGGAAGAAATTCAGGACTTGAATGAGTAACGGCAAATCGATTTCAGAGACGTGAGGTGTTCGTTTCTCTTTGTCTTTGAATTGTAGTATGCCTGTGAGAGGGTTCGTAGTTGTGATTTACTAGTAAGCCAATTGTGTTCCTCACGTCAACGACAAAAGAAACCAGAAACGATCGAAAGCGGCTATTTATGTATCACGGAACATACGCCAGGCACGAACTACTGAGCCACGAAGAATGCGTGCACGTGGTATCGAGCCGTATAGCCGGTATTCCCACGGGGCACGGGCCCACTCATTCGAAACCAATTCCCATCTACCTAATCCACTTCCTCTAACCATAGAATATAGCCCATTAAATAATGCAAGTAGCTTCGAATCATGAGCGCCAGCCAAGTTACTCACTTGAACATACTGGGAATTTTCAGCCCTGAACAAGACTTTCACCCAGTGCTACAATGAAGGCCTTTAAAGAATCCTGAAAAATCGCCTTCAGAGAGTGCGGTATCCCAAAGAGTTCTGAGTATTTGCATAGCAGATGTATCACACATTTTCTCAAAACAACCTTTGTAGTCCGACGTGTTTTTTTTTTTGGTTTGCGGCGATCGCCAAGTCGCTATAGCATCCATTTCGAACCATGTTTCGCCCAATGACAAATGGCGCGGGAGATTTCCGTGGGCATTTCTATGACAGGACTCAAGTGGTTAGGTGCCGATTTACCCTTGGGACGAATATGAATATAATATCCAGTTAAGGTGTTGTTAAAGAGCAGATGCGTCCATGAATCAACTGCTCATACCACTCACAACATGTTCTGAGTCCCTCTACTTTTGTCCAGAGAATAGAAACAGTAAGAAACTGAGGTTCAAACTCTCTG